GATTTAGCCCACACTCGGGGGCCATATTTGATCCCCACCGCGGCGTACTGCTCGTGGCGCCGCGAAGAGAGAGAGGAGGCTCCATTATTTCTAAACTCCTTGCCTCAGTAACACTGATTTTTCATCCTTTCTGTTCTTAGTATTCATGTAAGATGAAGTGCACTATGTCCATTAATTTTTTTTCCTTCAAAGGAATTTATGGACTCATTTGAGTCAAAATGATCCTGACAGACTCATCTGAAAAGCTTACAGATAATGGAGTAATTTTTTTGGTCCAGTGTCCTGATTTTGGTGCCCATATTTGTTGGTTACGTAAAAATATATTGACATGGTGCAAATTGTTGTGTTTCCTAGAAAAACGAAACAAGAAAAAGGGGAATTGTTAAATCGGTGGTGATGGTGATGATAATGGTAAATGTGATGGTGGTCATGATGATGATTATTTATGGTGGCGATGATGATGTTCTGATGTTGGAAATAATGCGCATATTAATCTTAGGGTTAAGTTTTGTTTGGCGCCTACTCTACATCCCCTCCAGGCTGTCCTGGGGGACAGGACACAACAACTCTCATTCCCAATTCCTCGCATAGAGTGACCTAAAATTTGGAAATCATTCGTCATCTCCATCCCTAGCATTTAATAAAAGAATGCCGAAAAATCACATGGTGGCCACTTCTAAGGGATGACGTTGTTACTGTGTTTGTGACCCTACGTCTATGCTATGATATTTTCAAAAAAACTGAAAGGAGTGTGGCCAAATCTTTGTAATATTAATTTTCATAGTTAATGCAGTTGCGTTCTATATTAAAAGACTAACACGTCTAGACTAACCTGTGTGCTTACAAGATATCACTATCATCATTGGCTACCGGTCTCGAGGCACTTCTGTGATCGCCGGAGCATGTAAAAAGCCTGAAAAGCCATGCCCAGACGACCAGAGAATTACAGTATTGCCTCTTCCTTAAGTGATATCAGCAAATTCACCAATAGTATATTAGATATAGATAATGAAGTAATTGTTTTACTGATGTTTATTGGTTCTTTTCTCACCCTTTTATAGGTAACAGCCATAGAAAAAACATCAAAAAGGACACAAAGAAAAAGAAACAGCACTGCTAGCATCACTGTGCTCATTATCAATGAAAATGACAATGTGCCTACATTTGAGAAGTCATCATACACTGCATATGTTCCTGAGAACAGTCCGTCTTTTTACAGTATTACAACTCTTAAGGTAAGTTTTGGGCTTTGTAAGTTTCTTGATGGATAGTGACCATTTTGTTGAGGAATATAAGAGGCATAAAAACAATGTGATTATTAGTGTTTCGTTTGTCTCACCTTTTCAATGATTTTGTGAGGAACTGATCGCTGTCCCCAACATTTTGTTTCCTCTGTCATTAATCCTCTTTATCCCGGATATAGATGTATTTGAAATGTCGTAATATTTCCTGCCAGCCTTGACTATTTGTCTGCTGCCAAATGTCAAATCATTTATATTACTGTGTAATAGAGCTGTGGGTTTTTTTTTATAGTAGAGGGTTTAACGGCGCTCGCAACTGCATAAGGTCATATGATAGAGCTGTGTGGTGATACTGTACAAAAGTTCAATGAAGCGGTTTTCATGCTTCATCATACTTAAAATGTCGGGTGAAATGAACATGTATCATTTCTTGTTTGAAGAATGCTAAATTAAGAAGCGTCCAACATGAGTTTGGTTCAAGACAATTTTTTTCTGAACTGAATTTTTATAAATGACAGTAGAATTTGTCGTCAGAGTTGTTTTTGCCATGTTTATTTTTTAACAGTGGTAATGTACGATCATATAAGGAATAAGGGTATATAACTTTTTCATGTTTATAAACAGATGTGTCAGTTTTCTTCTTAAGGGCGAATATTATAAGGAATAAAATTTATAGAATTCTAGGGGCTTTTCTTTTCTTTATTGAATGTATACATCCATCCTGTTAGGTTTCATGCTATGTAGGATGCCCTGTGTGTAGGCAACAGAACTTTCAAGGGCTACCAGTATTGGGACCACAGTACTCTAGAGTAACAGTCTGATCAGGGAAAATTGACTCTTCAGTTGAAAAAAACAGAGCTGTTACTAACAATCTAGATATTTATTGTTAGGCCCCGTTATTGTTATTGCAAAGATGTGAATAATATAGTGCATTCAAAGAAAACTATGTTGTTGTATAGTATTCCAATTTCAAAATAATGGAATATCAGGTTTATCTAATAATAAAGTGTCCTCCTCAGGCAAACGATGATGACAAAGGAGACTTTGGCATTGTTAAATACAGCATTAATGAACAAACATCCTTGTAAGTATATTATGTGAAACATTTTTTCTCCTTCTTTTTTTGTCTTCAATGTTAAGCTTTTATTAAGAATTCACAAAGATTAGAAAACAAGGAATTTTGTTTACCCATGGCCAATGGCAATGCCTACTTTTGTTGTTTAGTGTTGCGGGGGGGGGGGGGTGTTAGGAACTAACCAGAGACAAATAATGATAAATTTTAGAACTGGTTTTGAAAGTATTTTTATGAATTTTTTTTATGCAATATGGTTTGGAAATAAAACAAAAAATAAGCATTAAAAAGGTTACGTAAGTCGCAAGAGTGTAGATTGTAAAGTGCATTTTTTAGTAGATATACAGTGGTACTTAGATCAATGAAAACTTGGTTTCAGCAAAAGGAGTTGGATTCGTCCTCTTTTTGTTCTTAAAATTCAATTACAAATAACTTGAATCCAATGAAAACATAAATGAGCAAGCTCAGATTCAATGAGTCGCTTGCAGGGTAAACAGCCCCCGCTGACATGGCTTCACTCATATATTTCTCCGTAACTAACCTTTTCTGTTCCTGAAAACTACCGATGACACCTGCATTGTGAACCATTATTGGCTTAGCCTATTGTTTATATCTTATGCGACCAATCAGCGGCCTTCTTTCATACATTGTACCAAATGCATGCTTTGTTAGCATGTACACATGTATACATCTTAGTGTGTGTCGGAGTTGGACAGGCGGCCAGCACATGTGAGATTTGTGACTCTGTGTGCGTGTGTCTGGGGGGGTAGGGGGCACAAGCGATCCAGGCATGGAACGTCAGTTACGATACAAACGCATCATATCCCCCCCCCCCCAAGCTACTAATCAATATTGACAATTATAAACTATTCTTGACATAGATATTATTATGAATGGCACCACACTGGTCTGTGGAATCAAACGTTGCCATCTGCTAGGCTCTACGCAGCAGCATAACTTGTCTGGCAAACAACAATATTATGTTATAGATGATAGATGACACAGGCATGCATTTGAAAGAGTCGGCCCTTTTGCACAGTGTGTGCTTGGTTGAATTCAGTGTATTTTCCTTGAATGTTCAAGCCTTTCTTCGGTATGGCATCCAAGAAACGAAACCAAACTACTTTTGATTGAGAAAGTCGAATACATTATTAATGATACATTACTTGCTCCAAAGATAGTTATTACTATCATTGCTTGCTCTATGCAAAAACCTCATGTTTGCCATAACGAATACTCGGATTCAACTAAATTGAAAGTCAATCTTGACGACTTCATTGAATCTGAGTTTCACTGTATCATCTGTTATCACTGTCAATTAAAGCTTTATGAGTGTCGGTTTTTCTTAACAATAATTTTAATAATAGAATATTTGATTTCAGAAAATATGGGTCATTAAGAAAGATTGTTTAACTTCTGTGCCTAGTCTTTTTTGCATCTGAATTATGCCAGTCACTTATATTCAAACCTTTGTTCATTTATATATTTTCTTAATGGAATTTCAAGTTAATCTTGTATGTAAGAATAGTGTACCTTTCTTTTAATAATTATATTTTATATTTTAATTCAGAAATGTAATATTTTTTCCTGCTCTATGACTATGATTTTTGTAAAGCATTCTTATTTTTGTGGGCAAAGGTATAAATATCTGAGAATGTCTTGAAATCATGGACAGTATAATTTGTCCAAAAGGCCAGGATCTTCCAAAACAAATTAATGACAGATAAAGCCTTGTGTAGAATTGAAGCCTACATCTGTAGATCTCAGTTCTTGTTTATGTTCTGTAGATCAGATTCAGCATTCTGGCCAAACGGCACACTGTTTGCCTATGAAGGCTGTCTCTTGCCTTTGTTTTGTCAATTATAATATATACAGCCTCTTGCTACTTTCATGTGGATGGTTAATTATATATGTTGATGTAAGTCTTCACTGTTGTCTGGATATCATGTGTATATTATGACCTTTTCAAGACAACATCACAGAGTGACTCTCAGGCTAACTCTCAGTTTTAGTTTTTTTACGATTAGCCTAAAACATTCTGGGCTGAAATGCTTACAGTTTTGTTAGTTAATTATCGGGAGTGCATTTCACTGAGCAGCCATTGTGAAACAGCATAGTACTCATGTGTTTTGTTGCTTACAAAGTTGTTTTATTTCTGTTCCTCCAAACAATGTATGTAACCAGTCATAGGACTGGCTTGTAAAGAACAGACAAGTTTGGATTGTCCAATAAAAACACTTGAGTATTCTTCATTGATGTTGACCAGATTTTAGAGTTCAATGAATTAATTGTTTGTGCTTCCATGATGGCCATTTGGAAGAAGTATACATTTATCTGACTACTGAGTTTCAATGCAAGGTCAAATTCAAATTTTCTAAATGTGAACCTCTCAAAAACAAAGGAAATTATTGTTGATTTTAGAAAAGAAAAACTAACAATCCGACCACTCATAACCGAACAAGAAACAATGGAAATCACAGATAGATTCATACAAACATCTTAATGGTCTGACAATCGACAACAAATTTACATGGCAAAATCTCGTGAATAATATCTTTAAAAAGGTAAATCAGAGACTGTACTTCCTGAGGAAACTTATGGTCTTTCAATCTGAATCCATCCGTCCTTCAGATATTCTGCACCGCCACAATAGAAACTTTGCTAAATTTTTGTATTTTTTGCTATGGTAGCAATTGGGATGACAGCACATCATAAAAATGAATAACTTGATCTGAAAGATATCAAACAGTTGGTAGAGACCTAAATAACTTTTAATATCTGCACATGACAAATGTTCTAAAAAAAGACGGAAATAGTGCTAATTTTAAGTGACCATAGCCACCCACTGACATCGGAATTTCAATTATTGACCCATGGTAAACCATATATTTCCAATACACGACGCACTGGCAATGAAATTTTAGTTGTAGCAGGGGGTTCCTCGCCGAGCGCCTTATCGTGTCGGGGTCTCGAGGGTCAGCTCCCAGTCGTCTCTCTGTCTGGGCTGACTTAATTTTTGATACTTTTCAACGTTCAGTTTTAGGTGTATCCTTGTATTTTTAGTAATTGTCATTTAATGCACCCAAAGTCCATATTTCTGCTCTTTGGACCCAAAAGAACAACGGACATTGTAACTTGTCTGGTTATTTCGTTAGATGCGCTGAAGTCGGCAATGCTACATTTTAAAACTTTTTGTGCGAGTGTGAAGAAAAAAAATCAATATTTAAAAAAAAGCACAACAAAAACTGTCGAGTTTTTGGAACATGAACGACATAACATTGGTGCAGATACTCAGTAGAGATGGTATCTGCACGTATAACAGGAAGCTGTTATTTTGCAACTTTATCCATCAGGCACACAATTCGCTATGAAGTAATTCCTCCAAATATAACTTCTAATATAATCGGGAATATTCGCATATTTTCTCTAAAGTTGATCAAACTTACCCTGATGTCTCTCTATGAAAAGTGCAAACCGATTTTAGTGCCAGAATACATCTACAACAATGTAATACACGAATAGTAGGCTATCAGTTACACTCCATAAATTATTCCTTATTTTTCTTAAAACGCTAGATCTAGGTTTTGTAAGTTGACTGAATAACTGAGATGACTTCTCATGATTGTATTATAAGAATAATTTCTAGCTCTCCAGTGACACAAAATCAGCACCAGGCTTTTCCAGCTTTTATTTTCCTTTCTATTTAACATTTGCAATAAGTGACAATGTTCTGATTTCTTTACATTTATAAGTGTTCGCGCATTTGTCCGATACAAAAACTAAGAATGAATGTTACCTGTCATAATTTTTATTCCATACAAGAAGTTCATCTCCACCCATGTATTAACACAGATTTGTGTTTTTTAAGAATCTCATAATATATTTTTTAAAGTTTGTATGCAGACTGCCACAGACACAGCATGATTCATGAACAAATGCAGAGTAACTTTCTCTTGTTTAATAGTAGAACAAGAGCTAATGCTGAGTGTCTTTACTTTAAAAAAGCAGATGTTAATCTTTCTTCTCTTATAACTTGACTATTACTACTCGCGCAGATTTAAGATTTCTCATAGTAAAAGATATATGATATTCGTAGTCAGTTTAACACAGATTTTGGAGAGATCTGTTGTGCCCTTTTAAAAAAACCCAATCATTTAATTTATTCATAAGTATGTAACAAAAATAGGATAAATTGGGTACTCTACAAACACTTACCTAGAACAAAAACTAAGGCACATAAATTAACCATTCTAACGCAGAATAAATCTCAAGACTTTGAGCTTTTAGAACTTGTGCGTAATAGTTTGCTGTGTTTAATGGGGAAGAAGTTATATCGTTTCAAACGTAGACAAAAATGCGAACTTCTTAACCGACACTGACATGTCCTGTCTTGTTGTGTGTATGCGTGAGTGCATCTAACCTTTGTAACCTATACTGCCATTGTAAATGACCAAGACAAAAATTTTTCCTGTGGCATGAATAAAGATTGTCATTGTATGATTTGGTGCTTTCCTGTGTTTGACTTTCTTTTTACCTGCTTATAGATTGTTTTCTCAGTTTTAGTGCTTTGCAGATGGATAGCATCAGTGTTGCTAAAAAGTTCAGTTCCAACTTCAGTGGTTAAGCTCTCGGATTCGCAATCGTAAGGTCGTGGATTCGAATCCTGTCAGGGACCCGACGTTGTGTCCTTGGGAAAGGCACTTTACACAAGATTTCCTCACTTCACCCAGGTGGGAATGGGTACCCAGCTATAGACAGTGAAAGATCTTGTCAGTTTGTTAGTGTTTGAGCGCTTAATCAGCTGCTTGCACTGTATGCTTCCCGGGAAGCTGAGAATGCTTCTGAGTGTTCTATGGTCTGCTGGGGTAATAATGTAGTGTAAAGCGCATAGAGTTTGCTTTCGAGCGGGGTTATGCGCTATACAAATGCTGTTTATTATTATTAATAAAAAAGAATTCCCCCCCCCCACCTTAAAAAAAGATGGGAGCCTTACAGACAACGAAACTGAAGAAGGGATCAAACAATTTGTTATCAGAGAGCTTTGAATAAAATAAAATGAAATCTTTGACCTTTTTATTTAATCTCCCATTTTTTCAGGTTCTCCATCAGCGAGTCAACAGGAGAAGTGCAACTAAACTGCAGTGCACAACAATTCTGTCGTGACAGAGAGACAAAGTCATCATATACTGTGACTGTCAAAGCTCAAGATAGTGGCCTATTTGAGAACACAGCTCAGCTCACAGTCACTGTCACTGATGTCAATGATAACACACCCCAGTTTGAGATGGCTTCCAGAAAGACTGAGATACCAGAGGGGAAGACCGTTTTCCCTATTCCTTTCTTTTTACGGGTATGGTGACCTTTTAAAGGCTCAGTAGTACAGATCCAGCATTTTCAAAGTAATAACTGCTTATCAGTCTGTCTGTTGAATATTTGTCAAAATAGTAAATTTTTACTGTCACTCCCACCCGCAGATGCAGTACTTTCAGGGCCAAACCTACATATTTTCAGCTGCTGAGCACATGTATGGCCTCTTAAACTGTCGGATATCAATGGTTTTTCTGAAAATCTCAACTCAAATTGCAAAACATAAAATTTTGTGACCCCCCCCCCCTTTTTTTTAAAGAACATGCGAAATATTACTATGCAATAAGGCATAGTGTAATAAAGTTCAAATAAAAGCATGGAATATGTGTTTCAGACTGTACCACCTCACCCACTGCTGTCACTCATCAATATTTTTATAAGATGCACGTCTGAGTTTCTACCAGTCAGATACTAAACAAAGCCACTGATTTAAGATGATGCTGTTTCAATTGTCTTCTCCCTTATGGGCAATGTCTTTTCCACTTTTAGTAAATTTTTAGAAAAGCACATACTTTTGGTTTTGTTTTGAAAGGCCTTGTACAGATCACTATAATTTAGGTACGTATTTCCCTACCAGTGGTTCCATAGACTGAGTTCCAAGTTTCCTTGTTGAAAACATCTGGCAGGTTTCCTGAGGGTTCAGAGATGCCTTTTTTCTGGAGGGGGGTCTGTTATTTTCGTTTTCGTTTCACCACAAGCACAGTTATCATTCTAAGCACATGTTTTATGTTTAACCCTGTATAAGTTGTGTCTAGTAACTGCGTTTTTGTTTGCAAGTGCAACTTCCTAAATTGTCAGGTAGGCTTATTTTCACAAAATCCCCTGAATGATGAAGAGAAGTCTTTCTTTTGTTTTAAGCTATTTCAAATAAGGAATTCCACTGTTTGTTTCTCTGTCTTCTTGTTTTCTGTTGCCAACAGTTTGTTATTTTCATTGGTGTAAAAACTATTTTTTGCGGGTGGTTGGCGGGTGCTCTGGTGTGGTTTGCTCATTCTTTCCTATCAAACATCTGTCGTCCTTATCTCTACTCCTTTTCTGTGTTTGTAGTATTTCTAATCGTGGGTGTTTATATGACCTAATTGTGTTGCAAAGGTTGTAAAATGCTTACTAAAAACTAAAACTAAAACTTTTTTTAATTTTCAGGCAAAGGATGCTGATGAGATTGGTACCAACAACAGTGTTGTTGTGTACAGCATATTGTCAGTCCCCAACATAACCAAAGGAGCCTTTGATGTTAATACTACTTCTGGGCAGCTAATGATGAATAAGGCTTTAGATTATGAAGAAGTAATGAAGGAATATGACAATGGATGCCTCTCTCTGAAAGTCTCGGCCCAAGACCTCGGGTCACCAAGTAAAAACTCCTCTGAAAGGATAACAGTTTGCATCACAGATGTCAATGATGTCTGTCCTGTCTTCTATCAGACCATGTACAATGGCACTGTGAAAGAAAATTCTAAACAAGGTCTGTTTTCTCAGGATCATAAAAAGGAACATTTCAGTCTTCTGAAATGTAAAATTATTAATTAATTATCTTTCATCGCCTTAAATTATGACTATAATGATTTTAAAGTATTGAATATTATGAAAACTGTATCTGTATTTCATAGCTGCCAACCAGTACATAAAAAACATGTTTAACCCTATCCGTACACCCTGGGGTCATTTTGTACCCCCAGGGTTGTATTCTTCACATTTTAAAATACTTCTAGTGCGAAGATCTCTTTGAAACTTTCAGTATTTCTCAAAAAATCATTTTGACAGACTGCTATGCAAAACGTAAGGATCGGATTAACGAGTAAATTTCCTCTTTGGAAAGTGGTGGCACAGAGTTCCCCACGTCGTATGGATACGATAGTGAAACACAACGTACGGATGGGGTTAATACATTTAAAAATATATTGAGTATAGTAGTCGTTTTTTAAATGGAAAATACGTATTCACGATTTTCTAGTATTTCTCTACACGCACTTACCTATGTTGAAGAAAAAAAGTGATTTCGAAAAACGATTTGTGAATAATGATGAAAACGAAGCTCGTTAATCAAGTGGAGAGATCTTTTGCTGCAGATCTACTTTAAATAGCCTGCATTTATTGAATGCAGAAAAGTGTGTGAAGGGATTGGAGGGAGGTTACTTGATCAGGGATGCCAAATGTCCGGGTTTTTTCGTTTTTTTCCGGGTTTTTTTCATTCGTTGGAGTAGGGGAGAGGTAAGAGAGAATATGTTTTTGTTTGCTCATTTAAAAGCTTTACAAGGTTCGGTTTAGGTGAGATGTGATGCTCCGCTCATTTTCCGTTTAAAAAAAATAAAATCAATTGGCATCCTTGCTTGATCAAGGTCCACCATGGGTAAAGTCTGTTGTTAGGTTTTGAAAAGTTAGCAGCAATGTAGATTGAGTAAACTGAAATATTCTTTGTTGAAAAATACATTTATCAAGGTTGATGGAAGCAAAAGAATATGAAGAATAATGTGAAATGCACACCTACTTTTATTTTATAAGATAGACCTTTCATGGAAGATATTATGCCATCAAAACAGGTCAGCTCTTGTGGAAAAGCTTTTATTTAGGTGCACATGACTAATTGTATTATGACAAACATTTTAATAGCACAGCAAAGAGTTTGCATTTTCCTTTTAGTTTGGTCTTGGTTGTCTATCCTCCATGTCATTACCCCATACAACAAGACTGATTCAACATTGCTGAACATCCTTTGCTTGGTCTTCAGTTTGAATGTGCTTGAGTTGCAGATGTTCTGCTGCTCAAAGAAAGTCACCCATTTCTTTCCTATTTTTGTTTATTAATGTTTATTTATTATTTATTATTAATTTTGATATTAATGTCTGCATCTGTTCCTCCCTGTCATGCTACTATACTACACTTCCCAGGGAAATGAATGAGTCAACTTTTTTAAAGAGTTTGTCACTAGGCTCAACAAGATCCGTGTTTGTTGTATTGGCTCTCTTGATTTTTGTCTTCCTCTATCAATGCCCGTACCCGGTTGTGCTGATTTATGTTGTTGCTACTTTATTTGCTTTGTCGTGCACTTGGAGCTGTAAGCGTTGAAGTGGCAGATAATCAACAAGGTCAATCCAGATCTTCAAACTTAGTCCAGTTTTTCCATTGGAGCGCATTTTTTATACCTTTGGTAAATTAATGTAAGATTCGATTCAGTGAGCACACAAAGGGAATGGGGGGGATCCAATGTCCGAACCTGACCCCAGTCTCTTTTGAGTTTCTAAATTTAGTAATTTTTATTTTCCTTTGAGCTTTTCTGGTGTACCATTATGAATTTCTGATGACTTTGACCTCCGTGGATGAAACCTCTTTGTGTCGGGAAAGATTCCAGAAAATTTTTGTCCACACTGTCGAATGCTTTAAAAAATTTAAGTTAATTGCCTACATGGGGACTTTTGTTTTGCAGACAGCTCCAAACTTAACCTCACCGTCAAAATGAGATCAGTTCTTGGGCTTTCTGTGCTTTTCTTTATCCTTTATCCTGGTGAGAATAAGATTCCCATGAGTTGACAGAAGTGGATGTCCTCTGTATTCATTCCATTTCCTAAAGTGTCTCTTTTTTGGGGTATCTTGATATGGTAGCCTTCTTTTCACTCCCCTTAGCACTTGCTCCTCTTTCTGGATTTTCAAAGAATGGGCTGAGTAGGTTTATTCAGTTGCTGATATCAACCTTTAATGTCTGTACAAGAAAGTTGGTTTTGCCAACTTGTCACATATTTACTGTTTGATATCATTTGCCATTTCCTTTTGTATATGGCATACCCCATCAGAACCCAGATCCCTTGGTGCTATCACACCCACTAATATAAATGTGCGCCTTCAAAGACTTTTTCATTGCTATGCGCCTTCATGTGAGTTTGAATATATATGTGTCACGACACGGTGGAATCAGACGCTCGTCAATTTTTGGGCATGTGGAAGTATTGATATCATCTTAAAGGTTGTTCATTTTTCTTGTTTTCGATAGAAAAAAATACCCATCTATCTTGCATAAAAGTCAAGATATTTCCGATTGAAGGAGGTGGGGTTTGCCCAGTTTCAGAGGTAAAATTAGCGAAAAAATGGCTGTCAAAGTTTGGCGATTTCCACAGCTTGAGAGTCCTTGGAAACTGAACATTTACATTTTCTGTGCAGTTAATCAACGTTCTTTAGTAAAATCCATTCAAAAATGTGTTTTTTAAGATGGACATAAAAGGAGCCAAGAAACAAAATTTCTACCAAAATTGCCAAGCCCTTGTGGAAAAATGCCGATTTCTTCAATTTCATTATTTTGACGAACACCTGATTTCACCACGATGCCTTGCACATCAGTTTCTTTCGAATTGTTCAGTTTTAAATTATATATTCATTTATATAATGTGTACATAGATCTAGATAATGAAAAAAAGTGGAAAATCTTTAATTAAACTTGTTTACATCCTGTGTGAAAAATCTTTAATTAAACTTGTTTACATCTTGTGCGAAATACAGTTAATAGACGTTGTGATGTTTAGTGGTGACTGCTGACAACTTTTCTTGACTTACATGATACGAGTTTTGCTCCTCAGGTACCCATGTGGTAAAAGTGGAAGCCCAGGACGATGACGGAACTTATCCCAACAATGGAACAAAATTTGCAATACAATCTGGAGGACAGGATAAATTTCAGGCATAGTATTTATTGCAGCATTTCATATGTTGGAATCCTGCAAACCCTTTAAAAAGTTATAATAATTATAAATTTCACTTAAATGATGCAATTCCATGCACATTCTGGAGGACAGGATAAATTTCCGGTAGTTAAGGCCTATAATGTGTGCAGAAAACCTGTACAAACTGTAACTGTAAACATCCACAAAACAGAGATGATAATAATAATACCTCGTCCATCAATGTCTGATGATGACCAATACTTTCGCAGAGGAGAATATTTCTCAAGTGAAATAGAAGAATTAAAGGTTAAGATGATCTGTGGCTTCTGCTGTGGCCGTTGAGACCAATTCTGGCAGAGAAAAGTTTGGCACACTTTGAGCATTCAAAAGCCCCACTTACACTTGTGGACGTGCATTGCTTGTGGGCTTCTCTCTCATTCGTGAAGCCTCATATAACTTGCTGCCCACTGTGGATGCTGCTCTCCAACTGCATCTGTCACGAGCTAGACTCTCCCATGTTGGAGGGTTTACGTTGATGTCCTTCAGAGACATTTTCAGGGTGTCTTTGTAGTGCTTTTTTGGTGTGCTAAACTTAAGCTTCCCTGAGGACAGTTCATACTGCCTTTAGAATTCTGAAATCAGGCACTGTTAAGATATGGCCAGCCCAGCGAAGTTGAGTACTTTTGAACTTAGAAAACAGACTCTCGGCGTCTGCCCTTTTGAGAACTTAGTGTCTGGTATTTTATCCTGCCATTTGATGCCAAGAATTCTCGAGAGGCTTTTCATAATGAAATGATTAAGCTTTTTGGCTTGGCTTTGGTACACCGTCCAGGTCACGGTACCATACAACAGGGTTGGGAGGACCACATCATTGTAGATTTTCAACTTTGTCTCTTTGCGAATGCCACAGCAGTCCCAATCCTTGCTCTTAGTCTTTGAAAAGACGCACTAGCTTTATTCATACCTAAAGCTATTTCTGCGTCAAAGATAGTGTACTGCTAAGATATTTGAAGCTATGAACATTGTTCATGCTGTTATATGTATTTTGAATTTGACATTCCTTATTGTTTGTCTTTTCCAGATCAACAGCACAAGTGGTGAAATCAGTGTCAGTGTGGGGGCTCAGCTGGACAGAGAAACTGACCCTTCCTTTACTTTAAAAGTGTTAGCTATTGACCGAGGTATCCCACCAAACACTGCCATAGCAACTGTGAGTATCACTGTGGAAGATGTCAATGATGTAGACCCAGTCTTCGCACAGTCAGTCGTTGAGCACTCGGTGAAGGAGGATGCTTGTGAAAACCACTCAGTGAGTAACTGTCACAGAATGGAAGGTGCAAAAGGAGAGAAAAGGGAAAACTTTTAGTGTGTACATTTAGTGTTGGGTCAATCAATTGCTTTGAGTTTGGAAATTGCTATGTTTTCATTATTTTTACAAGAAATGTAGTTCATTACTGTGTCGCGGAAATAGGGCACGTAAGTTTTATAACTTTTGTTCAAAAACTTAAATGCCCACCCTTTTCAACACTTTTATCACGAGAGACTTACCTCTACCTACACACCATCACTTTTTTGTCTCTTAAGAGCTTTTCATTACAATCTTTTAGGTTTAATTATGCATGACTCTCATATACAAAGAGAAAGGGATGTATTTGATGATGCAAATAAACTTCAGTAAGTTTCTAAAATTTTCTTTACGAATAACTACATCTTCCAAACTGCCTCGCACCTGCAGTCTTTTGCACATATCTCATGTACTTACTTTCGTCACATCTTATGATTATCCCAGATGTTTCTCAAATTATATGGATAACACATGAACATCACATGAAGTTCATTACCCCAACATTATCATAGTTTCCTCTGTCTGTAATATGTGTATGTTTTCTTCTCCAGTGTGTGCTCTTTATTTGTTTAACTCATTGCTGATGTGCCTGTTTTACCTGGGTGATCATATGTGTACTCAGGATTTTAATGTATTTGGGGAAAAAAATACAGTGGCCTTCAGAAGTCATGCACAGCACATTTTGATATACTTGGTATCATGATAAAATCGGTCTCCGTTCCTTCAGAGTAACAATGGTTCAAAATTGTCAAGTGGGCTTTTCTTGAGCCATGAAAATATGCTCCTTTCCACTTTTCTTTTTCTTAATGCCTTCTTGACTTTATTGAAACTGAAATTACTTGGGTTGCATTGAAATAGCCCTTGAGAAACAATTTTCTTAGAAATGGTCAGCAAAGTAACTTCACTAAATACAGTGGGGCACAGATATCGCAAACATGTGGGTGGATTGACAAATGCGTTAGACACATGCTTAATTCAGATGAACAGATCAAACGAAACTTAAATAGATATTTAAGAAAATCAGGGGAACTATAACGAACTATAACATTACACTGGTCAGAAAATAAATCGTTGTAACAGTTTTGCTGTTGCAGATCCGCCACACACAGCTGTTTGGGTGAGGCCGTGTCTCTTTTTGAACCTGTCCAACCATCCTGTGTTGCATGTGAAGTCAAGGCAAAGCTCCTTTGTAGTTTCGTCTGCTTTTATTATCAGAGTAGGGCTAGAGATAGTAAGAGACAAGGCATGTGCTTGCTGGAACCATTGAAACAGCGCTCTGGCTTTCTGTCAGGTTGACATCCAACGCTGGTGTTTTGAGTTTATCACGATTCTTTTAAAATGTGGTAGGCGCTGAGTTTCAGGATGCCAGATCTCTTATAAATCTGAGTCTTAGTGCAAAGCTTCTTGTCATCTTCTGATAAAATCTGGCAATTTTCTCTTTTCTACTATCATGAAAAGTACCTGGTATTGATAAAAAGATTGAAGGATAGATGGTGTATGCACTTTGTTCAGTGTCGAAACAAGAGAAAGGAAGAAAGTGTAGCTGATGAGCCTTACCACTAAAATAAAATTGCCCTTATATTAGCTCAAGATCATGGAGATGTAACCAACACTGGTCAGAGCATTTCACCAGCTCCTTTTGTATAATCTGTGTAATCCCTTTCTGGTCCATACATTCACTTTCAGACAACCACTCACACACATACACACAGACACAAATATAATGATTGCATTTATATAGCGCATATCCATGCTCAAGAGCATGCTCTATGCGCTTTACAACTATTATTACCCCAGCAGACCCTCTGAGAACACTCAGAAACATTCTCGGCTTCCGCGGAAGAATACAGTGCAAGCTGCGGATTTCATGCGCTCAAACACTATCAAGCTGACAAGATCGTTCACTGTCTATAGCCGGGTACCCATTTCCACCTGGGTGAAGTGAGAAAAATTTGTGTAAAGTGCCTTTCCCAAGGACACAACGTCGGGCCCCTTACGGGATTCGAACCCACGACCTTACAGTTGCGAGTCCGAGAGCCTAACCACTAGGCCACCAACGCCCAGTGCAGTGGCACACTCTCTGCCTTTGATCACACCCCCACCACCTAGCACTCACTTTCACGTGACTAGGTCCATGGAAGTTACACACACAGGTAATGTGTGATGGTGTGTCAAGATACCAGCAGTGTGTGCAACACGCTGTGTGGTGGTAAACTTGGTGGGCTCATGTAACCTGATACTCTGATGTGTATGTTTTCCATCATGTGTGCAAGGCAATTTGAATTGGAGACAATTGTAAGGAAAAACTTTATCAAGTTTTTCGAGACAACTTGGTTGACATAAATGTACTGGTGTTTGAGAAAACAGTGTTGCCAATACATAGAAAATATACCTGTTTGGTCGGGAATTAGCATACTGTACGAGATATCAGTGATTTTGACTTTTGAGTGTTCATGTCATCTGTGCCCAAATGTAACAGAAAAATTCTTCATGCTTGTTCTTGACAGTATTTTCCACTATGCTCATCATCTCAATATGAGTACGAAAATGTATTCCTTTTTCCATTGCATCATAGGATGCAACCCTTAAAATATGGACTTAATTAACAGAATTCATATTTATCTATCGCTTGTCTGTTTTCCCATACATTCATCATATTCTTTCATAAATAGTCTTCACTGGCAGTGGATGGACCAAAATTTGAGTGGGGCTTAGGCTGCTTCCACTTCTTTAACACAAAATAACAAGCAATAATAATACTAAAAACAGTGATAGTTTTTCTATACTCACGGTGAGCGATGGCATTTTGAGAACCATTTAGTCAAGAAGAGTCACCTTTGTCTTCCATCTCTTTGTTCTCAGTTAAATTCTTCTGGATGGTGGTGACGAAGCCATTTCCCCTCCAAATTTCATTTAATTTCATCTGATACAACGTAATTACTGTTAAATCTCAGCGGCACAAACACAAATATGCACAAACTGCACTTCAAACATATTTCGTCTATGAACTGGATAAGGCCGTGTAGTCGCAAATAGTAGATTTCTCCTAACAAAGGTCCAGTGAGCCCATAGGTACTTAGTCACTTGGGGAAAATGTCTCGTAAACTTTCACCCCTTTGTCAGGGCTAGGAGAGCGTGAGCCCTCAGTACAGAGTTCGTTTTTCAAATCTTTTATCTGTTTACAAGCAGAGTTTCTTTCAGGATGGTCCGTGGGAATGGGCTTACCCTTTGCTGAACTCTAAAGACATTTGATTGGCTGTTAAGTTACTATAGTTGTAAGCGGTGACAACAGTGATTGGAAAAATGAGCAAGTCGCCAAGTTGATCACTGTTTGTTCATTGCGTGCGATCATAACAAACAGTGTCAACTGCTTATTTTGTTATTTAAGAAACTTTCATTAACTAAGGGATAGAGTGGGGGGGGCTTTCTTCAAGCCCATAAGTCACTGCCACTGGTGGTTAGGCTACCGCACTTGTAATTATGAGATTATGAGTTCGGGGGTTCAAGGCTCAGGCCCGGCATTGTGTCCTTGGAAAAGGCACTTCACACAAATTTTCCTCTCTTTACACAGATGTGAATGGGTACCAGGTCATAGACAGTATCTTAGTGTTTTAACGTCTCTAAAATGGCTGCTTATACTGTATGCTTCCCAGGAAGTTTACATTATTTGAGAATGCTATCAGGTCTGCTGGGGTAATAAATAGATTGTAAAATGCATCGAGCTTGCAGTTGAGCGGGAATTTGTACAATACAAATGCTATCTATTATTTATTATAAACCTTTAATTTCACCCAGATTGTACAGCTGAATGCCACAGATGAGGACAGCAATCCCAATTTGGTCTACTCTATTGACTGGAGAGAATCAAGGGCTTATAGTGAGAGAGATCAACAGGTTGACATCTTGAAAGTGGAGGTAAGAATTGATAATGTCAGTGCCATATGACAATTTCACTAAAGTGGTGCAATAAATTTCATTCCAAACTTTGAGTGTCTGAACATGAAAATATTTGTATGTGGAAGGGATTTTGTTTAGTTAGATCTGGATGTCAGACAAGGCGAAATGAAATAATCTCCCATGTTTTACATTGATCAACTTTTTTGGTTGCTAATAGAAGGCTGCCATTTTGAATGTTAGAAAAGGGATGCTCTTGCTTTGCCTTTTTTCACCTATTCTTGTTGGAATCGCTGCTTTCTTTAAATTTAAGTTGCTATTAAAGGCTTACGCATGGGCTTTTGTAATATTTACAATATTTTTTTCTGAAATTTTGCTTTTTGCAAATAAGTTACATCCCACAGTTTCACAGTATTTCAACATGATACTGCCCTTCCTCCCGCTTAACGATTGAGTATATAAAAACTGCGAATGATTTTTTAAAAGATTGTACAAAGCTTCTCAGTGCAAAGTTGCAAAAAGTAATGTGCAGTTCAGATGTTTCGTTTTAAGAAAAAATTATCTACAGTAGTCTCTGCCTAAACGCAAGCCATACAAAAGCACGCTCCGCTGAAACGCACGCTTTTGTCATCTGACGTTTTTTTTTACTATATAATTTTGACGTACAAATGCACGGTCACTCCCTCTAAATGCACGCTCCGATCCGCGAAACATGCCAACAAGTTAAGCTTGGCAAGGGGAAATTTTCACTACAACCTGCACAGCCTGCATAAGACAAGCCTAGAATTTACTAGAAAACCGGATATTTGGTGAGAGTGCCCTTCACGGCGTACAAAGAGAGTGATGGACGGTGTTTACGCACCCTACTTTCCACTGACACACAGATCTAGGGCTGGTCGGTTAAATGTTGGGGGGGGGGGGACTGAAATAGTTTATGATTGGTCACTGGAAATGTATCTTTGATAGAAGGTTTCTGACTGGTGTTTGAGTTTGAGTGACTGCATGTAATGTTTAGTTAGATCTAGGCCTGATGCGCGACATGCGTAAATGCCGTAAAAAACTGGACAGGCTGGATAGGATTAAGGATTAGCCAAATAATCCTAATAAGCTGCGCTCGAAGCGCTTAAAATGTACTTGTTCAACAAATCACAAGAGAAAATGTTTCTTGAGGATGATTCTGCATGAATTTATGATCGTGAGTGGTCGCTTGGAAAGCCACGTGGCCGGTCCGTTGTCTCTATGACTATGACCAACAGTTTCCTCTTAGGCTATCTGTTCCCGACATTTATAGGGCATATTCATTACATTGAGTTTGCCTTTCTTCTTTCCCCCCACCCCATTCAATGCCTTTGTATTCTTAACCCCTGTCGCGGAATCCTTCTCAAAACAGTCACGTGTGGTCACATTATCGGCCAAAATGACCCCCTCCTCCAAGGAAGATCACTAGAGTAATAACGTGGCGTCGGTGGACTAGTGGTTAGGCTCTCGGACTTGCAACCGTAAGGTCGTGGGTTCGAATCCCGTCAGGGACCCGACGTTGTGTCCTTGGGAAAGGCACTTTGCACAAATTTGTCCTCACTTCACCCAGGTGGAAATGGGTACCCAGCTATAGACAGTGAAAGATCTTGTCAGTTTGATAGTGTTTGAGCGCGTGAAATCCGCAGCTTGCACTGTATGCTTCCGCGGAAGCTGAGAATGTTTCTGAGTGTTCTCAGAGGGTCTGCAGGGGTAATAATAGTTGTAAAGCGCATAGAGCAAGCTCTTGAGCATGGATATGCGCTATATAAATGCAATTATTATTATTATTATTATTAATAACGAATTGAGATGACTGCGTCCCTTTCTCCCCTTGCAAAGGTTCATGTAAACGCATGCGCAGTATTAACACACGCTAAGGAGCCCTCCCGAGCACCGTGCGTTTAGGCGGAGACTACTGTAAGTAGGTTAGTGGAAGAAAGAACAAATAAAGACCCTATAAAACTGATACTGTACCGTAGTTTTTAATTACCAGTGCGCTAAGTGCAGCCCACATTGTGCTAGTATGAATAGATGTATGAAAGTGTAAGTCTGTTCGTGTAAGTATTATTTAATAAGACACCTCTGACTGCAGACCAGCAAGGAGTTTCTGGTCACCATGTGGGATGGCTCAACCAAGCAGAGTCAAGTTTATTTTTTGTTAGTCAACTTTGCTGACCGAAAAGTAGCATACATCGTTTTTTTTTTGTAAGAGGGACAGCTGTGGCACTGACTAGACATTGCTTAACTCTTTGAACCCCATCGGAGGCTGGGAGCATCCGACGGTAACAACCCTGTTTCCCATTGGACGCTGGGAGCGTCCAGTACTAGTGACAACTGTTTCGTTTTATTTAGTGCTAGTTTTTGCTTGTTTTTCGGAACTATTTCTGAACCAAGTTTTTTAGTAATGAATAAGGCTTTGTTTTTGCTATTTAGAAGTTGGAGGCAAGCTTTTGGGGTTATAATGAGACATTGTTCACTAGGTTTAGGTGACTGTAGAAAAAAACTCTGGGAAATGGTGGAAAAAACTCAGGGCTTAAAGAGTTAAGGACTGTCGTAATGATACCTTTGAGTAATCTGCAATCTCTTATAGAATTTGTCGGAATTTTTGTGAAAAATATTTGGAGACGTTTGTACATATTCTGCCCATTAAAATTACGGCAAAGTTTAGAATTATTGTGACCTATATGCACCCTGGGATGCCTGCATGTAGGTTTTTTTGGAAAGCGCTTGGGAAGCACAAGAGAGAACCGAAAGTGAAAGCACACTGAATAGAGTGAACCACAAGGGTTTTGGCTTCGGGTCAAACCCTTTTGAGGGCTGATTCAGAGAGTTGTTAGCTCACCATTACACTGCTGTCACACAACTGTACTTGAATACTTGATCTGTCATTTGTTGCAAGATACTGAGCAATAAAACTGCCACTGGTTGAAACCAATATTATTATGCTCTTCCAATTCTACTTTAATGTTTTTACTGAAAGAGCAGGTTTACTATGTTTGATTATCTTCATATTTTTATGGTGTACCTTCCCTTCTCAACTCCAAAACTAACACCAGACTGAATCTTGTTTTCAAGACTTTCCTTGTTTTTGCATTCTCAGAACTGGATATCAGTGGACAATCACTCTGGACTCTTGTATGTGACTTCTTCGGTCCTAGACAGAGAATGTGCTGAGAAGCTGCTTCTTAAAGTCATTGTTAATGACAGTAATGCTGAACAGAATGGACCTCAGTTGGCAACTGGTGAGGGCTGTAGACTGAGTGTAGAACAATACACTGTGCATGTTGTGTTTGCTAAGTGGTCAAGCTTCATGTATAGTTCTTGCTTAGTCATACTTGCAGTGCTTACTATTTTGTTGGAGTGTGCTGCACTATTCAGTGGTGATGCTTTACATCCCTTTGAAGAGTAGAAGAACAAATTTCAAGTTCCTTCAATTTGTTACCTTTTGAGTGATGGCTAAGATTATTTGAAGTTATTTTGTACATCACCTGTATAGTCAAATCAAGTAAAAATTTAATTACGTCTAGACCCCCTCCCCACAAACTACATCCGAAAAGAGTTCAGAAGTTCCGTTTCTAAATGTTGAAAAAAAGCAAGAAAAGGTACATAATGTAGGTGCAAATGTTATAAAACGGACACAGTTTGGTCTTTGTCCTAAAAATTGTTTGCTTTCTGGGTAAAGTACAATTCAAGAGCTTGCTACTTTACTTGTCATTTCATGAAACACCCAGAGGAACTTTAGCGGCTGGCACTAACTTTGTTTTTATCCCAAAATATGATCATTTGCTTTTTTGTCTTTCTTTTTCCATCAGCAACTGTTACTATCAAAATTGAAGATGTCAATGACAATGCTCCTGTCATCAATGAAGGCCAAAGTTTGACTCTGAATATTTCGGAGGCCACACGGAATGGAACAGAGATCTACACTTTCTCGGCCACCGATGCTGACAAAGCACAGAGGGTTAATTTTACTGTTGCTGACACAAGCTTTTTCCAAATTACTCATTCTGGTATGGAAAAGTTTTATGTATCAAACTTGCATGCATTGTTGATGACAAAAAGAATATCATACAAGCTTCTATACATGCACACATCGGATTGGGGGAGTATTTTCAGAAATATGTAGAAAATCTAGAACTGACTTGATTTTTTGTCTGTCACTCAAAAATGTATAATGAATACTATCTTTTCTCTACTATTCACATAGTTTTGGAAACCCTATTAGTCCTTGTCAATATCTTTAGTAGTGAATATCTTTACATTGTTTTGGTGGCTCCTAATATCGGAAGAGGATCTGTTGTCAACATGTGACTATAGGTAAGCCTGTGGTACCCTTAACTATGGTATCTGAATTCGACCTGCTTACGGTAGTGTGCGTACGAACTGCTGGTACAAGTAAAGTAAAGTTGTTCCCGCATCCGATCTGGACATTAGGGATTGCTTTGTTAGGGAGACAACTTTTGGGCCTTCGGCATATGGTTGGGTGGCCAGTTCCTTTCCACGCCACCTTTACTTCCGCAACTCGAAGTCAGGTACCCATAAGTGTACAAGTACAGTTTAAAAATGGTACCTGCCCACTTACAGAACCATGGTGTCTTAATATAATATGAGTTAGGTTTTGTAAATTAAAATGGAATTCTTGTAAAATTGTTGTGAAGGAGAAATGATTATGAGTAAAGTTGCTGTTTTGCAGGATGAATTTTTCATACATGACTCTCTCTTCTTTTTTTTCCAGGGAAGGTTTCTATTAAAAAATTGCTGGACAGAGAGAAAAATGCCACAATGCACTTCATCGTCATCGCCACTGATAATGGAGTACCGCCCTTGTCTTCAAACACAACTGTCTTTGTCAATGTATTGGACAGTAATGACAACGATCCAGAAATTAAAGGAAGCACTATTTTCTATGTTCCTGAATCATCCGACAACACAACTCTAGTAGCAAAAATTAATGCCTCTGATGCTGATGCAGGTGACAACGCAAATGTCACATTTCTTTTCAAGGAATACCCCCCGTTCAGAATCAACCCAATAACTGTAAGTTAATCAACAGGGAAATCTGTAACTTTGGAATGTTGATGTTACTCATTGCTACATGATAACGTGTGTCCATTTTTAGCCTTAGGGAGTAAATGGTTTGGGTCCCAATTTTAACATGAAATTGTTTGTTGTAATTTCATGTGAATAACTATATCTTTTTTTTCAGTTCTGTTCCCTTAGGTATCTGTCATTTGTGCGCCCCCCCCCCCCCCCCCCCCAAGCAGCATTGTGTCATTTGATTATAATTGCTACTGAATCTTAACCCCTTCTGTGCCGGCATAGTGAACACTCGTGTCCTAGGGAGAAAATTGGACTTCAACACTGCCCTCACTGAAATGCTACCCCCACGGCCACCTCATCTTTGTTCTACATAGTCACCTCTACCAGAGCTTGATTTATATCCATGTTATGTGTGTCATGACGTGGTAGAATCAGGCGCTCTTCAATTTTTGGGCATCTGGAGTTATTGGTATCATCTTTAAGTTTGTTCATTTGACCATTTTTTGATGAAAAAAATACACGTTTATCTTGAATAGAAATTAAGATATTTGCGATTGAAGGAGGTCGGGGTCGCCTGGTTTCAGAGGTAAAATTAGCGAGAAAATGGACGCCAAAGTTTGCTGCTTTCTAAAGCTTGAAAGTCCTTGGAAACTGAAAATTTACATTTATATGCCTTTAATCAGTGTTTTTCTGTAAAATCCACACAGAAATATGTTTTAAAATGGACATAAAAGGTGTTGAGTCAAAAAACAAAAGGTAGAAAAAAAATTTGTCAAGCTGGAGGAAAATTGCCCATATCTTCAGTTTCATTATTTTGATGAGCGCCTGATTTCACCACGATGCTTCGTGTACGTTGGAGGACCAGCAGCACTATCTACAGTGAACTCGTCTTTACTTGCCTTTTATAGGGCTCTATGGATCCCCATTTGTTTCACACATCATAACATCTGCCACTGTCTGCGGAAAAATGTCTCCTTCTCCTTCACTGTTTCCTTCACTTTCCTTTTTCACTGTAGAAATTGTAATCACTGTCAGAATCATTTATAACCTCATCTAGGGCTTTGATTGCTGAGAATTGAGGTCTATAGCCTACCGATGTCTCTCTTCTAGCATAATGAAGAGAAGTCTAGGAAATTGAACATGCAGTCGAAATACTCACAAAGAAATTGTTGCAAACGAATACTTATAAAAACCCCGCTTGAAATGGAATTAGCTCCAGTAATTAATATTCGTAGTATCAAAGTAGAACCTTTTACTGTACGCAGATTTCGACACCTTGCAGGCGCGAGAAATTCTTGGGTTCCATGACACATAGCCTACATGCTGAGGCTGGTGAAATTCTCGGGGCAAGGCAGTCAACGTGTTAAGAATGTAGTACAAAGCCACTACGTACTGCAGGCCCACACCTTGTGCCCTGTTTGCATCGGGGGTTTAAGAAAAAAAATGTTTGTGAGTCTTATAGCTAATGTGCATAAGTATGTGAAAAGTGTTGATTGTCTTGACATGGTGGGGAACAACTCGTACACATTTTAAGTGCACATTATTTGTTTGATAGAAGCCAAAATTAGAGCCAGACTTATTTCTTGTCCAGAAGGTAATCTACTGCCACTTTGTCCACCTAAGGCTATGGAAACTATTTTTGGTCTGTCTCTGCAGGCCAAAAAACCTTATTGTTTCTTTTTTTTAATGCATATATTCAATTTGTGTGTGTGTGTGTGTGTGTGTGTGTGTGTGTGTGTGTGTGTGTGTGTGTGTGTGTGTGTGTCAGGTACCAAAAAAAAAAAGGAATTATTTCTTTCTTTACGCAGGGTCAAATCTTTGTGAATGGCACACTGGATAGAGAGAAGAAAGAAAGCTATACAGTGACTGTGATTGCTAGGGATAATCCTCTGCTGGAACAGAGTCGACGGTCAGCAGTCAGTGTGACTATTAAACTTGAAGACGTGAACGACAATTCCCCTGTTTTTGGTCAAAGTATGTTGTATTCTCACTGTATTTAGAGTATTCCTGCAGGCTGTTTGAGAGTGCCGCTGGCAGGTCTTGCTTCTGTTTTGTCCTTATTTTCCTTTTCTTGTACCATGAGCACATTGTGACATTCATTTCATTTTTTTTCTCCCCCATTCCTTTGTTACAGCTCAGGGAGTAATTGACTTAGTTCTTCATTTCACAGTATAGTTGATCTTAACGTACATGGCCGTTTTATCTTCAAAGAGGGTAGACTCATCCCTTTCCTGATGAGCAGCCACCTGCCCCTTTCGAAGGACTTAATATTTATGCGGACTAGATTAGCTTCAGGTTGGGGCAGGAATTAAGTTTGAATTACGGCTGGACAGCAGCCTGAACATCCTGCTCTTTTCAATGTTAGAACCACCAAGAGATCTTTAACACGTGAACTCATAAATTTATAGTACTTTTCCAAGAGGACGAGTTGCTTGATCCCACTTACCCTAGGATCAGGGGGTGTTGAAAACATGAGGAAACAACCTGACGCTGGTGGAGACCAAACTCTGAACCTCGGGGTTGATAGGAGAACACCATACCTGTTGAGCTACTGAGCCCCTTGTTCATGTTATTGATATGTTTCTGTTCAGTTTGAGCAAGTATGATAGAGATTTATGCAGTGTTCAAATAAGGGGGAGCTTGAAGAAATTGAGATTAGTTGGAGAGCAAGCTGTCTGATGAGACTGGCTTTTGATCAGAGCTAGAAAAGTGGAAAAGTTGAGAATTGCCATAAATACAAGGATACACCTAAAATTGTATGTTGAAAAGTACCAAAAATTAACTCGGCCCAGACAGAGCGGCGACAGGGAGCTGATCCCCGTGACCCCAACGTGATAAGGCGCCCGGCGGGGAACCTCCCGCGGCAACTAAAATTCCACTCCTGGTGCACCATGTTCAATGTGTGGAAGTAAAGCAGAAAAAAAGAAGGCTTTTACTCTAGGATTTGGAGTTTGCGCATGCCGTTAGAGGCATCACAATCATCTGGCATCACAATTTTTTCTGCTGCTTATTCAACTTGAATGTAGCGTCTTGTGATTATGTAAACTTTTATGCCTATGTGAGTGTATACATTTTGCAACGTCTATGATGTTTTAATCCAAATCTAGTGCTGAGCCTCTAATATGGTACTGGTACTTGTTGTCTCACTATTGCCATCAAAATCAAACCCACTGTCTGCACTACCTTTGATGAACTAGATATATAGTAGGAAAATCATTTTGGACCGCAAGTGTTAGTTTTCCAGTTCTGGAGGCCATTGCAAAAAGCAAAGCTTCAACAACACTAGGCCTGAGAAACCCCACCAAAAAACAAAACCTTGCATTATTCATCAAAAATGATGTTATAGAACAACCTTGATATATCTAGAGTGCTCCCCCTTCACTTGTGTGACTTTCAAGGGAGAGCTATCCTTTTACTGAACTTTTAGCTTTGTAACGAGTCAATATCTTCAAATATGAATATGAGTTTTGCGAGAACACTCATTAAATGAACAAGGGTGGGAATTTGCCATATATGAGAATTCTTGTCAGTAGCTCTGAATGACCATACACTTGGGGACTGGGTGAGTTTCAGTGGACGCTCCCGTCGCCCACTCGGCTAATTGACTACGTCTTTGTCACTCAAGTTGTGTAATGCTAAACTAAGCCCCATTTATTTTGAAATCTCTTAGCAGTAATGTACACAAAACCTATTCTTTTTGTTCTTTTTGGTTTTTTTGTATTAGGCAGCTATACCAGTGATGTGGAGGAAACAAGACCTATCAATAAAGTTATACAAATTGACCCTCGCGCCATCTCTGCACAAGATGCAGACATTGGAGTCAACGCAAACTTTTCATACTCTTTTCACGTAAGTAAAACCAGTAATAATTTTTTTTTTTATGTGTCTGTGCCTAGAGAAAGGTACCAAAAGTCGCCCAGACCGTTTCCAAATACTGGCTGATAATGACAAAACATCACTTTTTTTTACCAAAATGTGTTTCCATACAAAAATGATAGATCCAATATTTTATTACAATGTGCTTAAACGGTTTTCATTGATTTAACTTCTAAATATTTTATTTTGAGGGTAGGGTATAATAAAAACAAATAATGAAAACTGTTTTTAAAAGGTGTTTAAATCTATTCTTGAAGCACGTTTTCTCTTCCCTGCTTTGTTTTACCATTGAAATTCCATTCAAAATATTGATACCAACTGAAAGCCAAATTTGAAATGAATTTTCCAAGAATAAATATATTTAAAAAATTGGGTTGTTGAAAGTTTGTATGTGTTCTCACGTTTGTTAAACTTAAAAGCTCATTTTCTCAAAATTATATTTTTAAACCCTACCTCGCAAAATGTGCAGTATCTCAAAAACTACTTGAGATATCTATAAAAATTCATAGACACCTGTGTTCAGCATTGAATTTCCTATAAGGTACAACTCTTAACTCAAAATGGTCAAAATCCGACTTTTGGTACCTTTCTTTAGGCACATATAGTGAATAGCATTTGTATAGGCATATCCTCATTCAGAAGCAAGTTCTATAATGTCCTTTACAATCTATATCACTGCAAACAAGTGTGACAAGTGTGTTCTATTCCTCTTCTTGCCAGTTTGAACTTAAAAAAAAAAAAATATTGATGTCGTAGTGGTACTGAGCTTTAGAGCTTGTGTGGGTGCGTGTGTGTTGTGTTTTGTAAGCACCGCGGAGCACTTTCTGTGGATTCTGGCGCATTATAAATTCATTTATTATTATTATTATTATTATTATTATTATTATTATTATTACTGTTATTATTATTTGTGTATTGCTGGGTTTTTAAAAATATGTTTTACACATGTTTTTTTGTGTACTTTTGCTGCGATTGTTTGGAAGAGGACATGAACTATATTACCTGTTGTTATAAATACATCTGTGCTGCAACACTTATATTGAGCTGCACTGATGTATTTTTGCCATATATGTAAACTGTGATATTGTCAAAACTAAAAGAGAATTGATTGAGGAGCATTTTTAGCAAACCATAGTACAGTTTGAACTCGGATTCAACTAACTCTGATTCAACAAAAGCTTGTATTCAACAAAAAGGGTTGGATAATATTCTCCATTATTTTTATTTATAAAAATCAATAAAAATAGCTCGGATTCAAAGAATACATAAATGAGCTAGCTCGGATTAAACGAAGTCGCTTGCAGGATGCTGACGTGGCTTAGCTCGTTTTTCTCCCACAACAAACCTTATATGTTTCTGGAATCCATCCATGGCACTTGTATCGTGAACCATTATTCACTTAGCCTATTGTTCATATCTTATGCAACCAATCAGCTGCCTTCTATCATACCAAAACACCAGTTGCTAACACCCACGTCTCAGCATGTGTCGAGGTCAGACGAGCAGTAGCACACGTGAGACTGTATGTGTGTCTCGGGGGAGGGCACAAACGGTCCGGGCGTGGAACTTGAGTAAAGATACAAACGCGTGTCAGTTTTTCTTTCCGGTTACTGATCAATGTTACAATGATAAGCTAGTCTTGACATAGGTCTACGTATTGAATTGCACACTGGACTGTAGAATCAAACGTCGCCATATGCTAGGCTCTACAGAGCAAAATAACTTGTTGGGCTGACTGTGCGTCCTAGAATCAGATGATAGATGAGTTAGGTGTGCATTTGAACGAATTTGCCCTTTTGCAAAGTGTGTGTTTAGTAGAGTTCAGTGTATTTTCCTTGAATTTTCCAGCATTTCTTCGGTAGGACATCAAAGAAACGAAAATACCTCTCAGTTGAAACCAAACTGCTATTGATTGAGAAAGTCGAATACATTATACATTACTTACTCGGTGACTGTAATTATCAACATAAAAACCTCATGTCTGCTATAACGAACATTCAGATTCAACTAAATTGAAGGTCAGGACCGATTACTTCATTGAATCCGAGTTCCACTGTAGGGAGACACTAAACCTTGGGTTTTGGGGATTTATAAATTGGGGATGGGGGGGTTGGATTTGGAGAACTTGTCTGAATCATGACATCATGGAAGGGAGGTGGTGATGGGGGGAGGCAGAGTTTGTCTTTGTCGCAGTCTCATATTTGGGCTCTTTTGCTTCCAACTGCAGAGCTAGACTGCCTTTTCTATGTCATGAGCACAAATGAACAGTTTTCAGTTCCAGATTATCTGTTAAATTTATTGTATGCCTTACTTCAACAGGACCCAGACAACACTTACTTTCAGATTGACCCAGCCTCTGGTGTCATAAGTGTCAGAGAATCTTTGCTGAATCTTTCTGGAGTTTACAGGTACATCTTAATTGTTGCTCCTGTTTTGAGTCTTTTCCTTCGTGTTATGGTTATGGCACATTTTATTTATGTCATTCAGTGGACTGCAGACATTTGCGCTTTGCTGGGGATCCACTCTGAATTTAATGTCTATCTCCAATGGGACTAAGCCAAACAGAAAATTTGTGTAAAGTGCCTTTTCCAAGGACACAACATTGGACCAAGCTGAGTGTCAAACCCCTCAACCCACAATCTCGTGATTATGAGTCCTGTTGTCTAACCACTAGACTACCAAGGCCTTTTTCTCCTCTGGCTTTCACGGCTTTTCCCTCTTGAGATCGGCGGAGCCGGGGAAATTTTTCTTGCCCGGTCGGCAAATTATACTCTCACAGTCAAGAAAGAGGGAGGGGTGCAAACTGACTGGCTCCTCCTCCAAGAGGAGAAAGTAATTTGACATCGTAGTTTTCTTCATGGAAAATTTCAATATTCTGCGCAGAATGTCACCCCCAAAATGACTAAATTCTGCAAAAGTTCTGCAAAAATTCTGCAATGATTGCGACCATGTCTAAACTTTTTTTTTCCATACTGCTTAAAAAATATAAGTACCAATTAATCATAAGCTGAGAAGTAGCACTACAGACACAGTAAACAACCCCCCCCCCCCAGCAATTAACGGCATGCAATCTGTATTTTTGTTTAGAAACACAAGCCCATAACCTAAAATACTAGCAAAAAGTTTGACCCAAAGAAATGAGACAACATTGTATACCAATAATTTCAAAATCAGGTGAGCTGGCAGTTTGAGCTATGTCATTGGTTGTCAGGAGGTGTTGAAGACAAAAAAGACAAAATGTTATTTTAGAAAAAAGAAGTCCTAGGAAGGTGGGCAGAATATGTATGAAGATTATTTGAAGATAAAAGACCACCCCTACCTCAACCAAGCAACAACAATGGTTCCAACATTCTAAAGTCAGAGGTAGAGCTCACAGTTAGAATTAAAAACACCCCAAAAGGAAAAGCCCTCATTGAAGATGGCATAAACACAGAAATGCCCATCCACCGTCGATTTACAGGTGTGGTCAAGTACCACATTACATATGTAGTATGTAGGCCTACTAACAGAACAGTTTTCCACCAGACACATGTGTGCTTTTGGTAAACTGAAGCTGACGTTCAGTAACATTTGTTTTCAACACATTCTTTCCTTTAAAAAATGTATCCATTTTTCCTGAAAGACAAATCCCGTCTCGCCTGTACTCCTATACAATAACGCATGCACAATAGAATCTAGATAGGGCAGTGCTACTGACTGAAGTGTTTTTAGCCCATTCTTAAAAGGGGGATAATAACATGTTCTAATGCACAGTAGAATTGTGAATGGGCTGATTTATCAATGTCATGCTCATACTGTGCCGGAACAACATAGGGAAGAGGGGGAACTGCTGCTTTTTCTTTCCTCATTCTCACTATGGTCATTTTGTCCTCTACTTCTTTTGTATGTTTGTCACTCTCTTGTGAACTGCTATTTCCGGGGTGCCTTGATAGTCGAAGTAGACTTTGTACTGTTGAGGCTAGAGAGGTGAGCAGAGTAAGCCTGATTCCCCATTTAGACCTCTCTGTTGACATCCACCCCTTGGCGTTCATATGACCTATGCAGTTGCAAGCACCGTAAAATCTTACTAAAACAAACAAGAATCTTCATATAGATCAATTTTGTTTCCAAAAGAAAAGAACGCTCTAATTTACGGCTTCTAGTGAGATGGAGATCACTCTAACATCGTCAGCTTGCTTCAGTTTAATTTTTTTTTCTCTCGCAATTCTATGTTTGAAAGCATAATAATGCTGCAAAAGTTTGCAAAATTCTGCAAAATTCTGCAAAAAATCAAAATTCTGCGGCTGCGATGTCATTTCTTTACAGCAAGACCTTCCCCTATCCATTACACCCATCAATATGCATTTATTGGTGAGTTCTATTTTTTTCATATTTAGGTTTTTCTTTTAGGCCTAGGCCTATGTATTAAATATTTTGACACATGTTAATATTGATGTTATCTATTTTTAATTAAATGCCGTGCACTGCGCATAGAATTTTATACAAAAAAATTTTCAGGCTTTTTTGTCAGAGCCTGCTGGCAGCCCTGTTATAATGATGTCACATTTAACAAAATATGAATGTGATGTATTCCAGTTTTTCAGTAGACTGATGTTTTGTATTTGCATAATTATATTGGTGTCAAAAGGCAAATGATGACTGGTGCACTGGTTTCCGTCCTCTAAATATCCTCTCTCATCTCAACACCTTCACTACTCCTCTCATTCTTTCCTCTAATGTGCCTGTTCAATCTCTCTCTAGCAAGCTTTGTGTTTCTTTCTGTCTATCAGTCTGTCTGTCTGTCTCTCTCTCTCTCTGTCAGTCTCTCTGTCTCTGTACTGTCAGTCTCTCTCTGCTTCTCTCTCTCCCTCTCTGTCTCTATCTCTGTCTATCTCTCTGTCTGTCTGTCTCGCTCTCTCTCTGTCTCTGTCTCCCTCTCTCTCTCTGTCTCTGTCTGTCTGTCTCTGTCTGTCTCTGTCTGTCTCTGTTTGTCTCTGTTTGTCTCTGTTTGTCTCTGTTTGTCTTTGTCTGTCTCTGTCTGTCTGTCTGTCTGTCTGTCTGTCTGTCTGTCTGTCTGTCTGTCTGTCTCTCTCTCTCTCTCTCTCCCTCTCCCTCTCCATCTCCCTCTCCCTCTCACTCTCCCTCTCCCTTTCACTCTCACTCTCCCACTCTCTCTCGCTCTCATGCTCCCTCTCTCTTCCTGTGCTGAGAAGTTATTTCCTCAAGTATTTCCGTCTGTCTGCTTGGATGCTGTATCCCATTCTGCTGGGGTTGCCTTGACAGGCAGGAATGAAGCAGCCTTCCTCCTAAATCATCTAAATTGTGTGAATGGGAGCATAAAATATTTACAGTGGTAACAATCTCTCTCTCTCTCTCTCTCTCTCTCTCT